CATCATCAGAGTCTGAAGACATTACCTGCAAGATGTGTGGTAGCAAGGTAGGGCTGCGTCCAACCCTATCCCACGAATGCAGCTACGAGCGCTACGACATGTGCAGCAATACGACGAACACTCAGTTGGGGTGACTCGTGGTTGGAGATGCAGAGTCGACGAGAGGCAGAAAAGCAGCAATTCCAGCTGCAGAATCCATCGGCACCGCCTCGCCCGCCTTGTCGGGAGCTACGTCTGCAGCTCGGTGCGCTCGGCTCGCTGCGCTGCCTCGCCGGTGGGCGATGCCCGCGCTTTGTAGTCTGCAGTGGCGGTCGTGTCCTGCTGGCCAGGTTGCGGCGCGGCAAGCAGAGGAGAGTGGAGGATGGGGCCGATCTGTGAGCGGAGCACGACGGACTGACGTGCGCGGAAGGGAGTGGCGGCGGCGGCGCGAATGCAGGCGAAGTGGGCTGTGGGCGAGGCCGAATTGAGAATTCGAGATGAAGCGAGAGGATGCGACATAATTGTTACCGGGCGCGACGGACGGGGACCCGCCCGATCCACGATCGGACGTTCTATATCGCGTCTTGGCCAGATCCAACGGTTCAAGGTCTAACGGGTGACGTTGCCTGATTCGTTAGCCCGCTTTTGGTGCAGGAATCGCTCTATTAGGAAAAAGATACATTGAAAGAAGAGAAATGTGAGTCTCAAGTATTCTAGACAAAATTTGAATCCTATAACGTCTTTTATTTTGGGATAGACAATATTGGAGAGGTGGAAATTTTCTGGTCTTGCAAGACGTGCATTTTCTAAATCTTTGTTTGACATCATGGAGACACGAATGCTAGCATGATCTTAGTACGCGCATTTTCTAAATCTTTGTTTGACATCATGGAGACACGAATGCTAGCATGATCTTAGTACGCGCATTTTCTAAATCTTTGTTTGACATCATGGAGACACGAATGCTAGCATGATCTTAGTACGTGCATTTTCTAAATCTTTGTTTGACATCATGGAGACACGAATGCTAGCATGATCTTAGTGCCGTTCTCCGTTCTCGTGCGGTCGTGTCTTATTACTTGTAGGCCACCTCGCTTGTCCCTGCCTCGGGCGACTTCACCTGGACACACTCCTCTCCGTCGGCTGTCGTTTCAGTCGATGGCTAGGCCTCAACATGCCGCCGGTCGCGCTGTCCTAACTACTCTCTACTCGTACTTACTCCATGTACTTACAGGATGAGCTACTGTCACGGCGACACACACACACCGACATCGATCGAGACTCGAGAGTATAGCAGACTGCAGACGGCAGGTGACCATGCCGCAGATGAGGGGAACAAAGATTCAGTTGAAAGAAGAACCGGCTGGAATCGCCGATCGCGAGGGGCTGCTGAAAGGGGTTTACTAGTTGGGCTCATGGGCCTCGACTCTTGTTACTTAGGCCATTTTTCCGCACACAGATTTATATTTCTGACGTTATTGGAGTCGAGAATTTTTAGGCTTTTCATGCTGCACAAGTTCTGGCCCTCGAGTTTCAACTCCGAAATTGGAGTTGGAGGCCTTAACTTCTCAGACAGATTATCAAATCTAGTTACATGTCGCAGCGCATAGTCCTGCTTGTAACTTGTAAGGCGCGAATTTTGGAATAATAAATTAATTTAATTCCACATTTCACACGCAATGACACGATTACACTCTCTTAAACTGGTCTAGTAGGCCGTTGCTGACAACATTTTGACAGAAATGCCGTAGACATGAATTACGACGTTCAAAAACTTGCTCGATCACAGCTACACAGGGCGAGCGACGACACTATTATGCCCACTCTCTGTGTCTACCTAGCTACTGGTGATTCTCCTCCTGGCCGAGCATTCACGAGGGGCTGCAGAGCCTTGACGACGATCGTCATGTTGGGCCTGAAATCGGCCTCGTACTGGACGCACAGCGCCGCCACCGCCGCGAGCTGCACAGAGGCGCACCACAGAACAGGATCACAATTCACAAGGGAAATGCTAGCGCAGAGGAAATGGGGAAATGCCGTGCGTGTTCAAACTTCAACGGCGGCGTACCTTGGCCACGGCTTTCGGCGGGTAGTCGTCCTTCAGCTTGGGATCCACGCACTGCTTCACTTTGTCCTCGCTCAGTCTCGGAGTGGCCTGAACAAGCCAGAAATTTGTTGATTAATTAGGTGACTGAATTCACGCAGAGGTGCTGCATACGCAGTGAGATGCGAGATTGGCATCTCGGTCGGCCATAGTGGAAAAAAAAATGGAGAGGAAGGAACCTACCCAGGTGACCAGGCTTTGCTGCCCCTTGGGCATGGTGTGATCCACGGGCTTCCTCCCGGTCAAGAGCTCAAGGAGCACGACGCCGAAGCTGTACACGTCGCTCTTCTGCGTCAGCTGCCCCGTCATCGCGTACCTGATCGATCGACGATGCAAACGCACGTAGAGTCAGCGTCGTTCTAGCAAAGATACATAGAGTCGTGTCGAGAATCCGATGGAAACACTGGTGACGGTGGCGTGCGTGCTTACTCGGGCGCGTGGTAGCCGAACGTGCCGAGCACCTTGGTGGAGTGCAGGCGCGCGGCGGAGTCCGGGGACTGGTTGGTGAGGTTGAAGTCGCCGATCTTGGCGTCGTGGCCGTCGAAGACCAGCACGTTGCTGGAGCGCACGTCGCGGTGCACGATCGACGGCCGCGCCTTCTCGTGCAGGTGCTCCAGGCCCCTCGCCGCCCCGTACGCGATCCGCGCGCGCTGGCTCCACGTCAGAACGGGCCCGGGCTCCGCGCCCTGCACCCCCTTCTTCCCTGCGATGCATGCAATCGACGATGATCATGCGACGCCGTCATGGACTGATTCATTTTGGGTAGGCTTAAATGCTTAATTTTGTTGATTTTGCGTTGCACTGTACCATGGAGTATGTCGTAGAGGGAGCCCATGGTGGCGAACTGGTAGAGCACGATCCTGTTGTTGAGCTCCAGGCAGTAGCCCAGAAGCTGGGTGAAGTGCTCGCACTTGAGCCGCGACACCACGGACAGCTGATTGCATTGCAGTTGCAGTTGCAGTCACCGAGAGGAGGCAACGCGTCAGTATGGGCTATTCAGCCAGGCGTAAATGGGGGAAGGAAGGCGTGCTTTTCGTGTCACCTGTTCCCAGAATTCGGCTTCTGACTGGCCGGAGGAGCTGCCGTTGTCGAACATCTTGACCGCCACGGTCTCCCCGGTGGCGAGCTTGGCGCGGTAGACGCGGCCGTAGGAGCCTTCCCCGACCAGCGCCCTGTACCCGAAGTTGCCCGTGAGCCGGTTCAGCTCCGACAGCGCCACGGCCGGGACGTCGATGGGCAGCACCTTGGCCGCAGACGCGGCGCCGGTTCTCGGCATGTTCGGCCCTCTCGGCTGCTCTGCACGCACATCATCATTGCAATGTAATGCGCACGGTGAGCTAGCTGGCGATAGCGAGCCATGGCGCCAGCAACAGCAAGCCCCAAACGAGGAGAAAGGGAGAGGGAAGAACCTGGTGCTCGCGGCGGCATCGCGGCCGGGTTGGCGGCGGCCAGCGGGGCGGCGTGGGGCTCGTCCTCCGCGCCGCTGCAACACCACATCCTGAAACCCCGGTGTGCCGCCCTGAAACCTCAGATCCAAGAAGCAGCAGCAATGCAACCACGGCCGGTCGATCCGCGGTTCTGTACGTGCAAATATTGCAATTTGCTCGCAAAGCCGGCCGGCAAGCTTTGGACTAACCGATCTTATATGGCAGAGAAGGGAGGCGAAAGACTTGTGTCGAGACCGCGCAGACGGACGACGCGATTCCCGGCCGGCGGCCGGCCGCGCGTTGCAATCATTCGCTGTTTGGCCTACGTGCGGCCTGCGCGGCTGAACCTGAAATGCGGTGTTGCTGGCATGTTGCCATGTAACGTGCGATTTCACTTGTTTTGCCTGCAGACCCTGTGGACGCCAGGGAAAAGATGCGTGCGTTCTTGTCCAGGACACTCGTGTGCCATATCATTTTGCAATTGCAACGCGAGTGTCCTGGACAAGAACGCACGCATCTTTTCCCTCGAGTGTCCTGCCAGACAAACGCAAGCGCGAAAGTTTGTTTACTTGATCTACTTTATCACTTGGACTGACAATGATATCCTGGAGACAGAGAATTAAGTATTTTACAAGCACTTTCGTTAGAAACGAACTGCTGCTTCAGTTATCGACCGGTCGGTACGGTGATAGAAGGCGCATGATGCGCTCAGACATGCAGTAGTATATGACCAACTGAAAACAGGTGGTCAGAGTAAGGCTGGTAGCCCACGTTCCCGCCGCAGCTTCGCTCCCGGTCCGACGTGCTCCCATGCTAACCCCACGTCGTTAACCGCAACGCATTGACCATGCTAATGCTAATTGCCTGGAGTAGCACTATCGCGCAAATAGAGCCGGACCTATCTTCCGTCGAGAAACCAGCGCCATATTAGTCAACTTAACAATACAATGCATATTGCAGCGTTAAACAGCAATCAGTTCAGAAGGAAGGAGTCTGCATCTGCTCATGTGTTACTACTGCCATGCCAATGCGTGTCCGATACAGAGACAATCAGACAACAAACTGAGCCAACCAAAACCATGGTCAACTCACAACGTGCCATCAGAGAATGCCAGAATGGGGCGCCTTTGTATGTACAGATAACAGATGAATGTACAGAAGGTAAGTCATGTCCCAAGCCCTGTTTGTGTTCAACCAGCACATTGATGCATACATGAGTTAAAACATGACCGCATATATCTAGGAAAAAAGACAGCAATCAAATTAAATCCTTGATAGCAGAGTAGAGGCATGTGAAAAGTGGAGATGTCTATATATTCAGCAATATATACAGAAAGTGGAAGTACGAATGTAAAATCAACTTAGTACAGTACAGTGAGAAATATAAGCATCGCAGCTAGAGTGAATGTGGGAAACATATATACGGATTTTTGAAGTTAACAAGTGTCCAAGGAAACATGGCGCGCCGTCCAGTTCCTGACCTTCACAACTCAAGCTGCCTTCTTGCCCTTGTATTTGCCAGCACAGATGACATATACAATCAGGTTCAGAAAACTGAGGCCAGCAAGGAGCCAGAAGAAGTAATCAAGATGCCCTTCGTTCAAGTTGTCAGGAATCCATCCAGGGTTACCTCCCCTTGTAGTAAAGTACGCGACCATTGTCAAAATGAACGTGCTGAGATAGTTCCCGCCTGCAGTAGTGAGAAGATTAAGTGCGCTGCAGAGGCTCCTCATGGCGTCTGGTGACTGGTCGTAAAAGAACTCTAGCGCTCCAATGAATGTGAAAATCTCCGATAGACCAATCAGGAAATACTGAGGGATTTGCCAGAATATGCTCAGTGGGACTGGGACATTCTGATCCACCAGGTGTGCTTCCCTGGCAACTGCTAGCCGCTTGATTTCGAGGACTGCAGCGACTGACATAGCTATGATGGAAATTACCAGGCCAATGCCCATCCTCTGCAACTCTGTAAAGCCCCTCTCATTGCCAGTGAATCTCCTGGCTATTGGAACCACGATGTAATCGTACATCGGGACACATATGATGACACTTAGAGTGTCAAAAGTAGATAGTGAAGCTGGAGGAATCTTGAAAGAACCCAAGGATGGGTCAAGCACCATCCCTTGTTCCACGAACATTGTCGACATCTGAGCATATACAGCAGAAAACACTATTGTTGTTGCCCAGACAGGGAACATTCTTACTAGTATCTTCAGTTCTTCCACCTGGGTCACAGTGCATATCCGCCATGGGTTGTTGAAGTCAGCCGTTTTCACATCAACTTCGGTAACTGTAGCAGCCTTGTCTAAACATCTGAATAAAAAATCGGTTCAAATATGTTAGGCTCTTAGCTTCCACACAATATGGGAAAGAAGGCGATCAGCTATCCCAAAACAAGTCATAAATATTCATTCATCTATTAGGTAAAATAACAGAGTGAAAAAAGGAGTATGTGTGCTTACAAGTTACAATTTAGTATATAAACATAAATCCTGAAAAGCAAAAATCAGGAACTGATGCGGAACTAGTAAAAGAACTATTTTCAGAAGTAACCAATTAAAATTTTGTTCTTGACTATGGTGCTCTGCTAGGTTATACTATAAATATATTATTTCTCTATAGTTCATAACCACTAATGGTAAGTAATTCCTCCAAAACTATACATTCCATGCACTAATTGTATATGCTGTGAGCATGCACCGAATGGCTACTGTCTGATGCACTAAACATATGTGTTGCAAGTATGTACCGAATGGCATACCATACCAGGCTCATATGACTAGGTGGATCAAGAGACATCCAATTATAAGTAAGCAGAGAGGACATCAAAATTATTTTGCTGTTCCCATCAGTATATGAGGTCTATTTCTGCATGAGGTTGATTTTTCTCCAAGAGTAACTTTCTGCTTTGTTTATGTTACATTCCAGGACAGATGTGTTGAAAAACAAATAATACCGAATTGGGAAGTTGATCAATCACAAAGGTATAATGTGCTGACTTAATGAAAGAATCTGAACGCTGAAGTATGTCTAATTGAGTGTCTGATCCAAGAACAGAGTATGAGGAAGCTATCTGTCAGGCCTAATGCCTTCTTTACTTCTCAACGAATTCCTGTTCATGGGCAGATAGCGGACACTTTCCTATGCAAAGAACTCTGTTCGGTACAAGCGCCATAGCAACATCAACTACTATTCTTTACTAAGGAATAATTATTCGCAGTTTCTGAAGTATGACAATCAATCATATTATTATCTTTATCTCATACAGCTTCACAATCTATCTCAGTTTATAGTTGCTTTTACTATCATCTCATAAGATGGCATACCTGAGTTCATCTGTGTGCTCTATTTGCCGACTCCCCTCAATTGTTGATACCCCATTAGGTAGCTCATACAAGAGAGAGCTGTCCTCTGGGACAGGCACATTCCACTTGCGCAAAGAGACAACAATCACCTGGCATACTCGTGTAATAGGACTACCTCCTGGTTTTTGGAACCTATAAAGTGATGTGCCAGAGAAGAAGCTTATGATTGCCAGCCCCATGAATACAGTCGGAATGCCAAAGCCCAGTCCCCATCCTACATTGTCTTGCACCCAAACCAGAAAGCTGCTCGATATGAGAGCACCAATGTTTATTGCAAAATAGAACCAATTAAAGAAAGAACCCTTCTGAATCCGCTCAGCTGGATCTGTATCATCAAATTGATCCGCTCCAAAGGATGAGACGCACGGCTTAATTCCACCAGTACCCAGGGCAATTAGATAAAGGCCAAGAAAAAAGACAGTATACTGAAAAGGGCTTGCTGGTGGGCAAACGGATCCTTCACAGGATGGAGGCATGAGCATAGGAACTGATGCTGAAAGAGTCAGTATTGACATCCCCTATAAAATTAAAAGATGATGTCAAGTTAAATAATAACAAACTAACAGGGCTATTCCAGGATTAGTTGATTGTAGCACTATGTATATGGGCTAAACATGAATTAAGCAAAAGCCCGTATTCTACTACAAATAATTTGAGGGCCTATTCATTAGTCAAAAAAGGAACGAATTACTCGCATGTCCCTTTACAACAGTGTTACCATGGCACTTCAGAGCAAAGATGACTTACGAGGAAGTATACTGTGGAGAATGTTGCAATTGTCCAATACCTCCCCCAGTATGCATCAGCCAGGATTGCTCCAATAAGCGGAGTCAGGTAGCAAGTTCCCTGCCATGTAGTCACATTGCTAGCAGCAGAGGCATTGCCAGCATGTAGCTTTTTTGTCAAGTAAGTAACAAGGTTCGTGGAGATGCCATAATAGGCCAGTCGTTCACAGCATTCATTACCTAGATTAACCTTAATAGTTAGTTGCAGGTTATGGGGGATTAAATTGGAAGAGCACACGTAGTGAATTTACTCTGGACAATACCTAATATGAATGGACATGCCTTCCATCTACCAGTTCTTTCCTTGACAACAGGATTTCCAGAAAAGTCAACTGATCCATCTCCAGTGTATACTACTTGGTTGGATTCCTGCAGCCAAGATCATATTATTACTCTGAAACAAATAGCACAAGTACAAAAAGACGAGAGCACTTTGATAATGTATGGGAATCATAATACATTGATGCACAGGCTTTACTTTCAACGGTAATGTGCAAAAGGAAGCAACTATAGCGATATGCTGGTACTAGCAATATGCCTAACAGCTTAGGACATCAAAAGTGAAGTGCCCTGGAAGACATGGTGCTTTTCAAGCCATTAGTTGAAAGAACAAAGAACCAATGAGATAAATTGTTTAGGCTCAGCTATGTATAGCAAGCAATATATCCAAAATAAAGTGAACAAAAAGAGTAAAAGCTTTTAATTAACACTGCAATTGCCAATTGCAACACCAAATTGTACTCATGACTCCATGACCATTATATATAATAACGCACAAGAATTATGCCTAAGTCATCCAACCAAAGTAACAACTACTGAAATCTCGACTTAGTGGAGGTCCCAAGCTATCCTTAAGAATCGCGCACTAAATTAATCAGGTTGTTGAGTTAAAGCCTTCTAAATCCCGTGCGCCAAGGCGTGATTTTTCCTAAAATAGGCTACCAATCTGACCGACACATCCAAGAAATCTAAACACAAGTAGACAGAGCCTCTCTAAGTAAGGAGGAAAGGCCAACCGGAGGGAGAGTGGAAGTGGTCGAGCCAACTAACCTCCGGAGCGAGGAGCCCTTCCTCCAGCGCGACCGCCTCCGCGCGCTCGGCGCCGGCCATGGACCGTTCCCGGCGACGATGCGGTAGGGGCAGCGAAGTCTAAGAACACGCCTGATCGGAGCAAGAACAGTTTTTTTTCTATCCTGTTTTTTTTGGCGAGGAAGCAACAACGGCCGGTCCAACTCCAGGGTGGAATCGCGGGAGTGGTATTTATGGAAGTCGACTGGAGTAGCTTGTAGATCTGGGTACGTTTCAGGGGCGGAACGAGTGAAGGATACGGCACCGGCGCCCCTGCTGCTTTGCTGTTCCTGTTCCTTTCCCGGTGGTCTGTTGATTTTGGGCTCTGCCTCTTCTGGAGCTAGGGTTGGTGCCGGAATTGGAGTCGGGGTGCGGCCGTGCGGGGTAGTTGGCGTTGCAGAACAGGGCAACTGTGCGTGGGCGTGGGCGAAGGGGACTGTAGGAGACGGCCAGACTGCCAGATAACAGTTGATTTTTTTTGTTTTCTAAATTAAGTAAATTTATAAACAAAGTTTACTGCAGATGATCGTAATTGTGCTTTTACTCATGCGTAGTATTCTTTACCGGGTTCCGTTGGGAGGTCGGCGGAGCCCCCGGGTTTTTTTTTCTCATTGTTTGTTAATACGCTAGATGTGACACCTTTTGTATTTGAGAAAATTGCAGATTTAGGACTCCAAACAATACGCTTCGCAAATATAGAACTTCAAGCATCGTCTTCGTAAAAATAACCTTCGAAACGTTGGCTTCTTGATTTCCATGACATTTGGTGTATTAAGACTCTTTTCTCATCTAAATACATGTATTTGTTTCAAAATGACCCTTTTGCCCTTCGGACATTTAGACGGTGATTTGGAAGCCTCCGGCGCTGGCTGTGCCTGGGCTGGCCGCCTGCCGCAGCCAAGGGCAGGCTGACAGGCTGGCTGGCCGCCGCCTTGGCTGGCTTGCCTGGATTAGCGTTCCTCACGAATATGCAGCAGGTTCAAGATGCTTTGATATATGTTTCACAAGTTTCACTTCATTGGGATGCACTGGAAACAATATCATTGGACACCATTGATGATCGAGTTCTGAACCTGAAATGCAATTGCAGGTTTCAGATCAAACTCGGTCACCATAAAATTAACAGGTTCATATATAATAAAAATTAACCAAAATGATCATATGCAATAACAAATCCACGATTTTAGCATAAACAAGTTCATCTCAGGAAACCATAAATTTGTTCTAATCGAGTTCCATCGCATATCAATTAAAGCATAAGTTTACATCTCTTCACAAATAAAGTCATTCATCTCGTAAAACCATAATTTTGTTTCAAACGATCGGAGTCATATGAAATAAACCATGAGTTTACATCTCATCACAGCTAAAAAAATTCATCCAATAAGATCAATATGTGTCTCCACTATCTATAAGTTATCCCAATCAACACTTTGCACATGATCTACTTCGGACCTAAACAAGTGAAATCAATTTTGATACCATGCCCCTACTACTGTACAGGTAAAATAACATAAATAATTAACGCCATTACCTTTGCACATCAACAACAGGAAGATTGTACTCTATTGCCGGCGGAGGAGCAGTGGGCAGCAACGTTCTCGTTAGGGCTAGGGCATTGGACATGGCGCCGGTACGAGCAATCGCAGCGCCCTCCGGTGGGGCTTCATCAATCATGCCGTCGGGTTTGGGTGCGTCCAGGCCTGAGGCCGTCGTGTCCAGGCGAGAGGCCGGCACGGCCCGCCCTTTGGCGTCGGGGTCGGGGGTTACGGAGGGAACGGCGGCGGCGGGTTGGGGATGGAACGGTGGCGTCGGGGGTTAGGGCATCGGGAACATGAACGATCGGGCAGATGGAACGTCGAGCAGATGAAACGATTAATGATATGTAAGACCTGAAGGGTAAAAGGGTCACTTTAGAGAACAAATACATGTATTTATATGAGAAAAGAGTCTTAATACACTAAATGTCATGGAAATTAAGAAGCCAACGTTTTAAGGGTTATTTTTACGAAGACGATGTTTGGAGTCTTATATTTACGAAGCTGAGTGCTAAATCAGAATTTTTCTCTTTGTATTTGGCCAGTGCATTCCTTGTTGTCATGCCATCAACGGGCCCTAATAAACCTAAAAAAATCCCAGCAGTGGCGAATCCACGTATCCAACTGAGACCGACTGACTGACTGAGGGATACGCATACTTTTCATTTGGGTTTGTTTGGCTGATAAGTCATGACTGAAAGTACTAGTTGGCTGATTTAGTGTGAGAGAAAAATACTATTTATTGATAGAAAAAATACTGCTTATAACCAAACAAGCCCAAATAAACAGGGTGAGAATTTTTTTATTGCTTAGAAAGCGCACAAAGAGACGCAAAAGAGCATAAAATTGTGGAGCCGTTGCTCACCCATGCACGGCACGGCAGATTCCTGCCTTGAGAGCTCAGACTTCAGACTTTCTCAGAGGGCCTACCCTTCGCATTCCTCAAGTGGGTCCCCCGCGACGGTGAGACATCTAGCTAGAAGCCAAGAAGCCTGCGCTCGGCAAAAATATCATAGGAGAATCATTGCTGTCAATCAAACAAATCAACAAACTACTGTACCAGCCGGCCTCAGGCCTGGCCGCACCCAAACCCGACGGCATGATTGATAGCCCCACCGGAGGCCGCTGCGATTGCTCGTACCGACGCCATGTCCATTGCCCTACCCTAGCGAGAACGTTGCTGCCTACTGCTCCTCCGTTGGCAATAGAGTACAATCTTCCTGTTGTTGATGTGCAAAGGTAATGGTATTAGTTATTTATGTTATTTTACCTGTACAGTAGTAGGGTCATGGTATTAAAATTGATTTCACTTGTTTAGGTCCGAAATAGATCATGTGCAAAGTGTTGATTGTGATAGCTTACAGATAGTGGAGACACATATCGATCTTATTGGATGAATTTTTTTAGCTGTGATAAGATGTAAACTCATGGTTTATTTCATATGACTCGGATCATTTGAAACAAAATTATGGTTTTATGAGATGAATGACTTTATTTGTGAAGAGATGTAAACTTATACTTTAATTGATATGCGATGGAACTGGATTAGAACAAATTTATGGTTTCCTGAGATGAACTTGTTTATGTTAAAATCGTGGATTTGTTATTGCATATGGCGTCGGGGTCGGGGGTTACGGAGGGAACGGCGGCGGCGGGCTGGGGATGGAATGGTGGCGTCGGGGGTTAGGGCATCAGGAACATGAACGATCGGGCAGATGGAACGTCGAGCAGATGAAATGATCAATGATACGTAAGACCAGAAGGGTAAAATGGTCACTTTGGGAAACAAATACATGTATTTAGATGAGAAAATAGTCTTAATACACTAAATATCATGGAAATAAAAAAGCCAACGTTTCAAGAGTTATTTTTACGAAGTCGATATTTAGAGTCTTATATTTACGAAGCTGAGTGCTAAATCAGAAATTTTCTCTTTGTATTTGGCCAGTGCGTTCCTTGTTGTCATGCCATCAACGGGCCCCTAATAAACCTAAAAAAATCCCAGCAGTGGCGAATCCACGTATCCACTTGAGGCTGACTGACTGAGGGATAAGAATTCTTTTATTGCTTAGAAAGCGCCCAAAGAGACGCAAAAGAGCATAAAATTGTGGAGCCGTTGCTCACCCATGCACGGCACGGCAGATTCCTGCCTTGAGAGCTCAGACTTCAGACTTTCTCAGAGGGCCTACCCTTCACATTCCTCAAGTGGGTCCCCCGCGACGGTGAGACATCTAGCTAGAAGCCAAGAAGCCTGCGCTCGGCAAAAATATCATAGGGATCATTGCTGTCAATCAAACAAATCAACAAACTATTGTACCAGCCGGCAGCCGCCGGCCACCTCAGCGCTCTCGACAACACCGCCCAATGGGCCATAGCCTATTTTGTTGCGCTTCGGCCGTTAGGGATGTTGGAGTACAAATGGGCCTGCATCGGATCACCAAACCGGACCCAGAAAGCAACTTGGGACGAGAGAAATAACAGCACCTCCAAAAGCATCCTTATACTCTTATTACTAGAATAGAGATTTAGTTTCAAAAAAAAAAGAATAGATATTTGGTGGAAAAAACCAAGTAA